GCACATATGCGGCAGCCTCCACCTCAGAAGCCAATCTGCGAAGCTAATCGAAATTTTAAACATTTGGTAGATTCGTGTTTGAAGTTATAATGGACCGTTAAAGCGGTTTTATTATTTTGTGTTGCTGATATTCCCTGGATTGATAGATTAGTTGTTTTAATTAAGCTCTGAGGCATGAATACTAAAATTGCTGAGAGTTTTGGGATGCCATAAAGGGAACCGTGGACTGTTATAGGTTAGGTAGAGACTAGGCTCATCTTTCGATTTGAAAGTAATCATGCTTGCCAGTTTTTTAGTACCTTCAGCACTTTATTGAACATTAAAAAGAGAGAAACTGAAGCTCGGGGAAGTAGCATGTTAAAAAGTCAAAATAAAATATATATAAAACAGTACTTACTTAATAAAAATAAACATTTGGCAGTGACTGAGTGCCTTTGGGGTTTTTTTTCTATTTCCATTTGGAATTCAGTGAAAGAAGCAGAAGGCAGTATTTAGTATTTAGCACCTCACTTGTTGCTCATTCCTGAAATGGGATTTCAGTAAATGATGCTATTTTAGGCTAATTTCTAGTTTCAACATGCAGGAAGTAATTAGTCGTCAGTGAAAGCATCCATATTTATGAGACTTTTTGGTTGTAGCTTGAGGGAAGAAGCAGGGCCCATATGGAATAGAAACAACAGAACAAACTTACACTAAATGTTTTAGTTTCACGTGTATTTTATGTCTTATGAGAAATAAATGTCTCATACCATGATTTACTGATGAAAGAGTTCCAGTTTATGGAAGACCAAAGCTGCTTAAAAGAAAAACTAATTTATAAAATGCAGAATAAATTAAATATTATTTTTTAAAATTTCCTTCTGTATATTTATTCATCTATTAATAGTTATTTCTCTTTCATTTTACTTATTCATTTAATTTAATTTATTATTTTTAATTCATTACTTTATTCATTATTAATTCAAACTTTTTTATTTCAGTATTTTCATTTCTTGATTTCTTTCTCTATGCCATGCTTCAGCATGCAAATATGGAGGCTCAAAGTGTGCCAAATCTGTCCCTAGTGGTTGACCAGCACCAACAGAAATGTTAATAAAATATTTTATGAAAATGAAAATAAATATATTTATATGAATTCTAATTATATGTTATATATTTTAGTGCATTTACTGGATTTTTTTTAAAAATATCAAACTATTTGTTATTTTTTAATTTGGCAGTTCTGGTCCTCCACACCCTTTTGCATTTTTTTATGCAACACAGTTATAAACAAACAGTATGCTGTGCAGGAAAAATGAGAAAGCAGCCACTTTCATGAGTAAATGATAGTATGCGGCATATAGTTTTTACAACATTTTCTTTTTCACATAGGGGACGAGTGGCTGAGTCTAGTGTGAATGTACCTGTGTTTCATGTGGATAATGAGTTATGTAAGCAATGCACTGTTGTGGTTTTGACTGTGACTGAGCCTGGAAAGTATGCCCTACCTGTAAAGAATGACAGATGGCGGCTATGAAATTGAGCATATACATTGAAATACATCACTTCATGGTTTCAGGCGAGCGTGTTTGCTTGAGTGTGACATGTTTGCAGAGGGGTGGGGAGTCTGAATGTTTTTTTTAAAAAAAAAAGAGGGGCTGGGCTGGGCTCTCTTTTTCGCGTCTCTCTCCAGCCTAGAAGTGGAGTGTCTTTCTCCCCCTTCCCCCTCTCTACGAGCTGCTGGCCCTCGGTCAGGTAACAAAACAGGATAGTATCACAGGACGGTGAAACCCAAAGTGGCCCCGCCTGCCTCCATACGTCTGTATGTGAATGTGTGTGTCTGCGAGGCTCTCACCTGTACCTGTCATATATCCTATACCTTAACTTCTTTGTTCTCAGTGTGTTTGCCTGTTTGTTGCACTCCTCTAAACACACCCTTCCCTTGCGGCCACTCCTAACATCCTCTTGTCACACACATCCCAAACCCTCATATGTATGGTCTGTGTTTCTAGAGTCGTTGCTATGCCAACAGCCCACTTTCTGTGTCTTAGCTGTGGGAGAATCTGATCTGAGTCTACTCTGCCCCCCACTGGATACTGTAGACAACTGCAGGCTTAAATCATGTCAACCACATCAACCCCCATGGGGTCAGAGGGAAAAAGCATTGGCACCAAAATGTATCAGTTGTAGTAATGCCATCTGCCACATTTAATATTGCCTTGCTAGAAATTGAATAAACTGAAACCAATCACTTTCAATACACAATGAGATGTACGATCTGGAAGCACTAACTGATCCGCAGGCCCAGACGTTTCTTTAAAGCAGCCTGGTTGCAGGGAGCAGAGGACCACCTCAGGTGCTGTAGAGCAAGCCTTATAGAGCGGCCATTCCCCTGACAGCAGTAGCTCTTACCTGAGAATGCACTGAACCCCTGAATGAAGCATGAAGGAGAATGAATAATTGAAGACGTTCACTCCCCCATCGATAGTTGGGAGGTGGAGGAGGAGGGAGGTGCCTTGCTTTACTTCAAGCCCTAAGAGTCTCCCTTTGCTTTAGACTTCTTGAGTAGATGCTCATGTTTTAGGTGTAGTGTTTTGCGCAGCTTTTTGATTCTCTCAAACTCATTGCCTGCAGTTTAGAGCCAGTGCAGAATAATAACAATAAAAGCAATAATAATCAGGCAATATGGAAATGCAAATACCTCCCTTGGCGACTAATACAACTAACAGCAATTCATAAGCATCCCCTTCCCTTCCTGAAATGGTTAACATCCCTCCTTCCCCCCCGTCTCACTCCGGTTCCTTTGCTGGTTGAAGTGATTGTTTGCTTGTCTTGTTTGCTCGCCTTTTCTGTCTGTCTATTTGTCAGTATATTTTCCTCTAGTTTTGTCCGTGTGTTCTGCAAAAATGTACACATTATTGCATTCAACATCAATTGTCATCCAAATTCGAAGCTTAGTGGGTCCAGAAAAACAAACAAACCAAAAAACATCCCTCGAAACAAACTTGGTGAAAAGCTCGACAGAGAATGCTGGCCGGACAGACAGACTTTCTATGGGCTCCTTGTCTACTGCCTGTTCAAGGCATTGCCTTCACTCTCCGAGTGACAACTACTTGCATATAACATATATGCACATGTAGCCAATGCCAGTTTGTGCTTTGGCCCCTGTGTCCCTGGTCCACACTTTTAGAGTGTTGCTAAATGGTTGAAAATTCAGGTTCGTCTTAAAATCAACTTTTATCATTTGTAGTTCTCAACTTAATTTCTATCAACACCCTCTTTTGTAACACTCTAAATGTGCTTTTCCTACTACTTGTTCCTTTTTGTGTTTTTGGTGGTATTATCATTTCGTGTGGTATATCGACTCCTTATTTCCCCTCTCTCTATATTTTTTGGTTCTTCTATCGATTATTTTGAGCTCTCCATGCAGAGAATAGTGCTTCTTGCTCTCTTTTTCCTGAAGATCAATTGTATTTATTGTCTTTTTCTTTTACTCTCTGTGTTCTCTCTCCTCTTTTTTAGCATGTATGCCCCTTTGTCTCCTGTTAAAGATATTACGTGTGCATAGCCTTCTTTTTTTGTCTCTTATTCTTTGATACTTATCAGACTGACCAAACTAAGCCTCTCTTGTGTTTCCAGGCTTTCCTTCCTTCATTCCCTATCTTTTCTTGCAGCTCTCTATTTCTCTTTAATGTGCTGGTGTTTGTTATTTTTTTCTCTTACTGTTCATACTATTAATACTTGCTATCTCTTCTAATACAGATAAATAATTTTCAGCTTGCTTTTTCTATTTCTCACGTTCCCTTTTGAACCTTCTGTCTTATCTGCAGTCCTTATGATTTCCATCCAGTGTTAGTGTGTGTGTCCTCTCTGTGTCTGCTCATTGCTTTTCTCTTTCTCAGTGTTTCTGTTCTTGTTCTCCTTCTCGATTCACTGTTTGTTTGTTGGTGTTTCAGTGTTCAGCCTCTCCATGTGCCTTGACTAGTCATTTATCCAGTGCTGTTTGTCCAATGCGTCATGTTATGCAGGACTTTTGCATCTGACTCTCTTTTCTTGTGATATCTGTTCACACTTCCTTTAATCTTAAAATATTTATTCTCTTTAATTTTTTTTGTCTTCTTGTGCTAATTTCCTTTTTTTTGTCCACTTTGTGATTCTTGTTTTCTCGATGTATGAACATAGTGATTTTTCTCCCAGAATGTTTATCCCACATGTTGTTTTTTAAACAATACTCATGAGAAGGAACTAAACTTCACATCTATTAACATCTGTACCTAAGAACCAGCTGTTCCATGGCAGATTTCTGCACTCACCTTTGTTTTTATAAAACTTGTGATGTTGGTGCAACTGAGGGAAATTTAAACACGCAAAATACTTTACAAAGCCGTGTAATGTCTGTCCTGTTAAACATCTGGTCATCTTCATGTTGCTATATATGTCTGTCTACTGTTTTTAAAGTAACGTCATGTTGCTATATATGTCATTATACATGTGTGTCCTGTTAAAGTTGTCATTTGTTAGTTGTCAAAAGACTGAGCATAATTTCTACCAGGATGATTAATCGGGTTGTGTCAATAAATTTAGTGATTCTGTTTTATGTTTTGTCTGAAAATGTCTTTGTTTTGGGGTTTTTTTTAGTGGAGGTAACTTTCTTGTAAAGATGTGGATGTTTGCCAGGGTGGAGCTCTCTATATATAGTCATCTCAGACTCCAGTTTTCCTCAAACACCACTTGCCGCATCAACTGTCCTCAGTTCTAGCGCCCGCCATTAATCTGTGGAATCTTTGGCACATTTTACTTGGCTTTGCTCCTGAAAGCTACAGAAAAAGCAGCTTGAAGTGACATCTATCCAAAAGTTAACTTGGACCACCATCGGTTGTTCCAGATAGGCAGGTTCCAAGCGTTAAACAGGTGGAGGTTGGACTCCCTGGGTGCTCAGACATTCTCTCTTTCTGTAGATGAATTAGCTTCACATGTCCTCGCTGTCTTTTCTTGCTTTCAACGTGAGCTTTTCTTTGCAGAGGCAACAAGCCAGCCAACAGCCCCAAGGGCCAACCTCCTGATGCTGATGGCCACTCCTCTGTAACCGACCTGGCCAACTCTCTCACTGGAGACATGGTGATGGTAAGACAATGTCCCACTTCAAATCCATCTTGCTGTCTATGATATGATTGGTCTAACCTGACTTTTACTGTTTAGGCTGCTAATTTTCAGTGAAAGGAAGTAGATTATTTTTTCCACCAGGGCAAGTTAGCTGGTTTCTACTGAAGATGTAAAGAACTCCCATAGAAGCTGAAACAGCAGGCAATGTTATTATTAATAATAATTATTGTACAAGCTCAATTTATATGGGACTGAGTGCCTGAAAATCATACTATAGAAAAACTATGTTGGGCAGTGCAAAAAAGTAGCCCATTTAACAGTGTCAGAAAAACACTACTGGTGTAAAAGTAAGCTATATCAGTCCATACACTAATAAGTAGGTTTTTCGCTGTTAGTTTGGGGCTTTTAAGTAAAGACCTAGATTGGATGGAATTTTAAAGGTGGATCCTTTGGTTTTTGCCTTTCTTTAAGGACTGATAGTAGACAGTTTTCAGTTCATGTTACAGGCTTTCTATAAAAGTTGTAATCTGCAAGCACCATTTGAGAAAGGGATGCATTATCCCCTGTTCTACTTTCATAATTTTATTCTGTAAAATATCTTTGATCAGTTCACTGTCCAATCCATTCAATCCATATTTATCTTATATTAGACTTAGCACAGATCCTCATATTATCTAATGCCTAAAAGCGGCTTCAGCTCCTCCCCCTTTAAGGCCAACCTCCCTTTAAGCTTTTTCAATTGGCTGTCTGATGCAAACCGAAGATATGAACAGCATATGGATGAGGCTGCTGCGCTCGCAGTCAGAATTGTGTTGCTGAGATGGTTATATTATATTCTGACTGATATTGTGCAAAGTAAGGAGTAAAAACATGCTCTGAAACCAAATCCATCCACTTATCCAAAGTAAAGAGAGCAGTTATGTTACAAGTTTGGTTCAGCCACATTATGAGCAACCTGATCTTGGCATCCCAATTCTTGTTTTGTATTGAAGAGCCTCATTAGAGCTGTCACCTGCAAGAGTTTTAATGATGAATCAGAAAGCTGATATGAGTTCTACCTTATCGGTTCAAGTGAGTGTCTGACATCGTTAATAAAGATGTCCTTGAAGATTAAAGGAGTCTTCATGGTGTCTGTTGTTTTGAAATGAAAAATCCAAATTCTTTAATATTAGGGTGTCCAAGTACTTTTGGCCACATACCCAGAAGGTAATTCTCAGTCACCAGGTAGGGCACGTGTTGCAGTGCTATGGTAAATCCATACACAGGTTAATCTAAAGCTGGCAGTAAGGGAGCTGTAATAGAACAACATACAGGCAGTTCCTACAGTGACAATCAAACGAAACAGGCATGCAAGGTGACTCACGCTGTTTGATAAATTAGACTTGGAGAATTTCACACTTTCTCTGCTTGATAGTCCATAATGCCATATTGACATATTGCTGAGCGAGTCTTTGTCACTTTGAAATTGTAGCCCTGGCCTCGGGGAGCAAAATCAACAGTTTCAAATAATGCTCAGTGAGACTTTGCCTGCATAACACAGCTTTACTTTTTGTTAGAGGTAACGGCTGCACATAGTGGCTTTAATAAACTGGTGGTTGTTTATCGCCACTCAGAGTTCTCAGAATTCTTTGTTCCAATTTATGTTATTGTTAGAAAGCGAGTGGGAACGGGAGAGGAAAAAATAAAGGACAGAGGCAGAAGGTGGAGCTGCAGGGAGAAAAGAAATGATTGTAAAGACAGCTGCAAGTGCAGAATGCCAACCTTGAGCTTTGCTTTCCTGCCTGTTCTCTCCAAGCCTCTCACACAATGCTCCCTCTCTCCTCCTCTTTCTGTTTGTCTCCCGCTCTCTGCTCCCCTCTCTCCGGCCGTTGCTTCCATCAGATAGTGGCCTTTTAGTGCACAGCAATGATAAAGCAGTCAGAGTGGCTGTGAGAGAGAATGGGTGGTCTAAAGCTCCCCTATCTCCAATCTGAGCACCTCCTGCCTCTTAAGAACATTAGTAAGGAAATTAAGCTCTCTCAGTCTTCTTAATGTCAGAACAATCCCTGCCTTTGAGCAGCTGCTTTAGCACACCGTGATAGAAACGCAGCCCTAAAATCTCCTCCCCTCACAGCTTCTCTCTGTCAAGGTCTGTGTGTGTGTGACACCAGATCTGTGCCCTTGGATTGAGAGTTTCATGTGAGTGGCTGCTGCTGCTGCTGAATATCTGAGCATTATAATTATTTGTCTGCTTTTGTTGCCCTGCAGCTGTCCCCAGGTTCGGAGGATGATGAAGGGCCCATCAGTGAAAAGCTGGGTCGGATCCAGTTCAGCATAGGCTACAGTTTCCAGAACACGACCCTCACGGTCAAAGTTCTCAGGGGCCAGGACCTCCCGGCCAAGGACTTCTCTGGCACCTCCGACCCCTTTGTTAAAATCTACCTACTGCCTGACAAAAAGCACAAGCTGGAGACCAAGGTCAAGAGGAAGAACCTCAACCCCCACTGGAACGAAACCTTCCTGTTTGAGGGTCTGTGTTTACATACTGGAATGTTCTCACTAAATATTTTCCATCACCTTTTCCAAATATGCTGCCATCTGTGGTTTGATTGGGACATCATTGCTTTCAGTTTGATAGCCTGAAAGAACAGAAAAAAACTATAAATCTGTCATGTACAATAACCAAAAGTAGTAACGCTTTTAATTGCGTGTTTATGTAAAATCATGTTGCTCATTTGTAAGAAGCTGAGTCAGATAACAAACAAAAGCTAATCAAATATAACCGTCATGGTCCTGGGTCTGTGACCCAGTGTTTATGTGTTTTTGGTTTAATTAATATTCTTTGATTTAGTTTTATTTATGATTCAGTTTTCATTGCTCTTCCTAGTCTAGTCATTTATATTTCTAGTTCTTAGGTTCTTGTTCATTTAATCTGTCCCCTTGAGAATAACACCCCCAAAAAATGGATAAAACAAACCAGAGCAAACAAGTTGGAACATGAAGTACGAGTCTGTATACACACTGGGAGTGACTCCTCAATGGGACACGACTGGGGACTGACCACAGCTGGAAAAGATGGTAAAGTATAACTAGCTTTCAAATTAAAACAGGAAATATTCAAAAGATGCAAAAAGCTAAATGAGATGTAAAAAGGGGGACAAAGGCACTAAAACATAGAAAGATTTGCAAGGCAAGACGGCGAAACATTGAGGTTGCTATAAACTTTGGGAGGAAAAGATAAAATCCAAACAGAAATGAAACCTAACCAATGCTCAAAAACATCACAACAACCTGGGACCATGACATTTGAGGGGGATGAATTCTATAATTAGGGCTTTGGATAGCTGTAAACCAATTTAAATCAATAACTGAACATTTAGGGAGATTTGGTCATTTGCTTTCTTGCTGAGAATAATGCTAGAAGATTGAGACCACTTAATACTCACGCAGCCAGGAGCTGCTTCGCTTTGCATAAAGACCGAAAACAGGCACGAAGAGATAAATTCAAAAGCTCCATTTTAAAATGTAAAACTATTGCTTCAAGAATATGTGTCTTTTTTAAATAGTCACGGCAAAGGATTCAGATTGCGCAGTGCGATTACCGAGCTGTCACAAAGAGCTGTCTCTCAACACAAAAAGAGCATTGTGGGAGATGTGTGAAAACACATAACGTGTGAAACTGCAACAACATTTTTTTGCATTGATAAAAGCTCCAGCTTAAGAAACTGCGGAAATCATTCTGAGTCGAATAATAACGAATGCTCTTGAACACTGCAGAGGTTTCGTAGCAGTCGCACAGATGGCAGTGAAGTGTCTCATTCCTGTATGATTTGAATTGCTTGTGAAATGGTAAAACAGCCAAAAATAATGTTCAGAACCTTTTACAAAATCAGAACAATGGCCTGTGCTCTTGGAAAAATGAATGAATTGGCTGTTTTTTTACTGGAGCCTAATATTACTTCTCAGCCAAAACCATCCCTCTTTGCACCGCTGCAGATTACACTGGCCTTCTTCCCTCTCTGTGGTTTAGCCCTCACCCTTCAGTGTTTTCTGTTTCTGTTTCTGTCTCTGTTTTAGGCTTCCCTTATGAGAAGGTGAGAGAGCGCACTCTCTACCTTCAGGTGTTGGACTATGACCGTTTCAGCAGGAATGACCCCATTGGAGAGGTGTCAGTCCCCCTTAATAAGGTGGAACTGGGCCAGTTAAAGACCTTCTGGAAGGAGCTGAAGCCCTGCAGTGATGGCAGTGTAAGGAAGGGAGGGGTGACCGCGGGGTCGAGCCGCGCCGTGCGGTTTTATTAAAACACGTGTGAAAAATTTGTTGACAGTTTTCAGCATGTGAGCTGGATTGACATATTTTTATTTTTGGCGGGTGAGCCACGTGCTCGCCCATGCCTGCCTGGGTGCTGGATGGTCTGTGTTTGGCACAAGGAGGTTAGAGCAGAAAGGGCAGTGATATAAGATTACACAACAAGCTAGTGAGTAGCCTGGAGTTTGATATTCCCTGATGAAATCTGATATTAGGCTGGGTGATTCATACTCCGCTGTGTTTGTTTGCGTGTGTATGTGTGTGTGTGTTCCTCAGGGGAGACGAGGAGACCTGCTGGTGTCTCTCTGCTATAATCCCACCGCCAACACCATCACTGTGAACATCATCAAAGCACGCAATCTCAAAGCCATGGATATCGGGGGCACCTCAGGTATACACTCCCCTTTGTTTGTTTAGGCTCTCTTTCTCTAAGCATTTCTCAGCAGCTGGAAGTCCTTCCTGACTTTGGAAGCTCTGTGCTTCACACAAGGCTCTGTCTCTGTGTTCAAACACTCACTGACTCGTCTGCTAACAGGACGATTGCTGGCCACCGTCGATAGCTACAGCAGCAAGGTGACATTACTTCAAGCGTCTCTCCATTGACCTCCCTCTTTCCTGTCCTCTCTTTCTGTATATCTATGAGGATCTTCAACCTCCTAGCCAAATCTGTGTCAGCTCAGTCTGGTTGCTGCTAGTTTTTAAAGTGTCCTGTCTCGCTGTGAAATGCTCTCTGTGGCATATTTCTTGTACAATTACAGCTTCCCGCAGTAGTAGGACTGGTGGCTGGTAGTACGACAGAATCTCACAATGCTCCAGAACTAGTAGTACAGATCCCAGGCCCTATTTCCATAAATACTTCCTCATTTGTATGTTTCCTCGCTCGGGGGATAAGTTGACCTTGAGCTCAAACGAGGTATCTGCTTCCCTGCTGCCTTTTCTGACTTTTAACAATTAGGAGGGTAATTGCAAACCTGACCCTAAAAAAAAAAGGAATAAGAAAAAAAAAATCACCATCCATGTGCATCTTCATCGTCTCGCTCATGTAAACCACCGCACTCTGCTTCCATGCTGCAGATCCCTATGTGAAGGTGTGGCTGATGCACAAGGACAAGCGTGTAGAGAAGAAGAAGACGGTGGTGATGAAGCGCTGTCTCAACCCCGTCTTCAATGAGTCCTTCCCCTTTGACGTGCCCGCCCATGTGCTGAGGGAGACTACCATCATCATCACCGTCATGGATAAGGACAGACTCAGCCGCAACGATGTTATTGGCAAGGTAAGGTTTCACAGGTGCCGTCTGTTCAGGACGTGCAATCCTCCTTGTTACAAAGTCTGAAACTGCAACTGATTAAAAGTACTTTCAGGGAACAAGCAGTCGCTACCGAGGTAGGTCAGCTTGTCATTGCAGTTTACTCTGTGACCACGGCAATGACAGAGAGCACACCAAGGAAGATAATACAGTAATTAATTAATGAATTATACACTCATACATTATTCACCAGCAGCGAGCAAAACAATCAATAAGGAGAAATCATCCAGGAGCATAATGAGCTTCAGGCTTTGATTATCTGGTGAGGATCGTGTCACCCTGCTGGCCGTTTTCCTCTTAACGGAAGAGCTGGGTTTGTTAGCTAATAATTCACTCTCTGGGTAAACAGATGAGAAGACTGTTACCACTCTCATGTCTGTCCTTTGAAAATATAACCACCAGATGGTTTAGTTTAGTTTAGCACACAGACTGAAAACTACGTGCCATTTTGATGTGGATTTATGTGCCAGACTAATTTCATGGCGGAGCTGAGAAAGTAACAGGTTCCAGGCAAAAAAAAAGGAAAATTTGCTAATTTAGGCAACAGCAAAATGCATTTTACCTTCATCAGTTATGCAGCCTGTGTGAAAGCTGAGACACTGTTCTTTCTTCATTTCATTAGTTTCCAACTCATTGCAGCTTTCCAGGCTCTCCTCGCATGTGGTGCATGTCAGACGTTGCATGCACAGAACGGCTCTCTTTGCAAAGGTGTTGTCATGACTGAGTGAAGCCATGAGAAACTTGAACCCAAAATGCATGTGAGAATGACAAAAAGCCATTACTTTAAGATTTATTCCCTCATCAAGCCTCTGCCTCTTTTCTTCCCCTCTCTCAGATCTACCTATCGTGGAAGAGTGGACCAGCAGAAGTGAAGCACTGGAAAGACATGCTCGCTCGGCCGCGCACTAATGTCGCCCAGTGGCACGCTCTCAAGGCCTGATCGCACTACCCAGCTTCCTTCATGGCCCCTTCCCGTCTCCTATCCCTCCCTCCTCCTCCTCCTTCTCTCTCTCTCCTCTCTATCTCTCCCCTCCTCCCACTCCTGTCCTTATGCACAAGACTGACTTGCTGCCAGGCTGCGAAACACGGGTACAATTAGCCATCTGCTCTCTTAAACCTTTAAAGTCCTTTTCTCTTTTCTTTCAAGGATCTCAAATTTTTTCTCCCCGACCCGTCTCTTGTGTTCCCTCCTCTCATACAGCCCCATCTCAGTTTCCGTGTCTCACCCCTTTGCCAATGGTTCCCCTGTTTCTGACTGTCTGTATGTCCGTCTGTCCGTCCTTATGCACTTTGCCTGTGGAGGTCTGATAATCAATTCCTTTGCCGATCCCTTAGTTTTGAACTGCACTGCAGCCCCTGACCCATACAAGGTGCCAGTCCCGTGGGATCACAGAGAATCGTCAGTAATGATCTAATCTCATATAATCCTGTTGTATGAATATTCCAGGTATACAATACTATACAGTATGTACTGTATGTACATATACATATGAATATATTAGGTGTATAGATTGGCAGAACTCCCCTATACACACAACTAGTATACAGTATATTACTCATAGGTCGCCTGCTGTTTCCCATCTCTTCCGTCTCTTCATTTGCCGCCTCGTCCTTGTCATCTGTCTCAAGAGTACTATATTCCCCCTCCTTTTCAGTCCTTCCTCCTTTTTACTCAAAAGTGGTTTAATGTTCAGCTGAAGTTGTTGAAAGCAATCAATATATGGTGTGTAATGAAACCAGCTGAGCTCAAGATGGAATTGTTGATACCGCTGTCTCTTCTCTCCTCTTTTTTCTTCCCTATGTCCCTTTTTTCTCTCTTCTTTTCCCCCTTTATTGTTCCCAATTTCTCTTCCCCTGGCACAATATTAGCGAATTCCTCCCCCACTCCCCCTTTCTGGATGTCCCTCCCCCTCTTCCTCCTCGTCATCTGTGTGCTGTGGGTGCTGTGCTGTAGCTCCGACAAAAATAGAGATTAAAAATTTAAAAAATAAACTGAACTTTCCGAAGCTGGGAAAGCAGGGACACGATGAACTTGTGAAACGGAGCGCTCCTGATGTTTTCCAGACAAAAAAGCCCCGACACGGAGAGAGAGAAAAAAGAAGATGAAAACACAAACAAGCAAACAGATCCTTCCTCCCCCTCAAGATACTATGATGTCATTTTTCACAGCATCACCAACTGAGGAAACGAGTTTAAAATCTTCTTCCAACGTTAAGATGAGAGCAGAGGCAAGAGGCCACGTTTGTGCAGTTTACGCACGTGCACGTGGGTTTGCGTGTGCACACTTCCGTCTGTTTAATGATGCTATGAATTCTTTGTGCTGCCCCGTGCTCATGTTTTACGCTGACGGGGGTCACGATCTCCGTCCGTTTTGACTGTGCGCTGTGCTGCGGTGATGTGTGCCTGTTGGTGTGCGTTTGTTTTCACAGGAGCCGTTCTGTAGAAATCTTCTCTTTTCTCTTTCTCATGTTGCGCTCTTCTTGCTCTTCTTACTGCCATTGTTTCCCCATCTTCTACTGCCCTGCCTTCTGAACGAGGGCACGGGGAAGTTCTATCTGCACTTTTTGGAAATGTAATAACAATAATAATGATGATGATGATTATAGTGATGGTGAAAAATTAAGGGAGGAGTGTCTGAAAGGGCGAGCAGAAGTTGGGGAGAGGTGACGTCTTCTCTGTGATTTCAGGGCTTGGAGATGTAGGTCATAGAGGATGCAGGGCTCTCATCCTCCTCTTTTTATTCTTTTTTCTCGATGTACGTGCATGCACACGTGTATGTGTGTGTGTCAGCTACCACACTCCTGGTGGCAGACTGCTGGTGTCTGAAATGTCAGGCCGGGATGGAGATATCAGGCTTGTCTTCTTGTCACGTGGAAGCCGGCCAGCACAGCAGTGCTATTTCACAAAGCGTCAATCAACAACAAGACCGTGATCAGAGCTCTAAACAACAGTCTGTCCTGTATTCCTCGCCTCAAAATGCTGAACAATTGTTAGGCATCTAAAACAGTCATTTCGATGTGCATTTTTCCAGTTTCCACACTGGAAGAAAAGTAATAAAACAATAAAACATTCTTTGGGTTTTTGTTGCACTTCAAAGGAAAAATGAGCAAGCGTGTATCACAGACAATAGGTGTGATATTAGACAATGGCCTGATCTGCCACCGTGAGATACCGTAGAAGCAGATTAGACATTATCTCTTCACTGAGTGCTAGAGAGTACCATAGAGTGTACCGTTGCCCTCTTTGCCCGGCACATTCAACACAGCTCGATATTTCTGTAACGTAGATAAAACTGTCATAAAGCAGCAGCAACTGGAAAAGCTGTCAACTATTAAGAGCTACTTAAAAAGAAATCTGCTTTCTTAGTGTGCTCTTTACTACAGCCTGCCTGTGTGGGGTTTTTTTTTTGCATTCATGAAGTCTTGACAAGCGAATCACGTCACCTGTTCCTTTCTTTTCTTCCAGCGGCTTAATTTTCTAAATGAAAATCCTCATTTCAGGAAACTCTCAAGTTAAACAGACTTACCAAGTAAATATAATCAGTTTGTTTCTTCGCTGAAACGTAACCATTTTCGTAATGCAGCGTGAGTAGTTTTGAACTAACTCGGCCTCATCAAAAAAAGCTGTGGCCCCTGCAGTGGATTTTATTTCCTCGCATCATGCAACAATTTGACAGTATCTTGCATTTCGGTGTTTATTTTCAGTTATGCCAACCAGTTCAACACTTGACAGACAGTATGAATTTGCAGTTGTGTAAGCGTGCGTTGCTCCTTGTCCAGTAGCTCTCTAAGCTGGTCTTGGCAGCGCACGGTGTGCTCAGTGTGTTCTGGGTAGTGTGGTTTGTGTGAGCCAGGCTGCCGCGATGCGCTGATCCAGTCCAGCAACCTTCAGAACAATTGGCCAGCCGTGGAACAGGGCCCACTGTTTTGACAGCCACTGCCTGCAGTGTCACAGCACATTACACTCCCATTAGGTGGTCAAAAAGGAGAAATATCTGCCTCCTTGGACCTGGGGGACTCACGATTTGCAGAGGTATCACTTGCTAAGAATAAAAGAAAACGTGGCAGACTCTCATTAGTTACCATGTTTGTGATGGACAGGGATAGAGCTCGTCGGCGAAAAAATGGAAATCAGTGGGTGTTCGCTGCTAAAGCTGTGAAAAGCACACGTGCAGGCGATGAGTCAACACAGTACCTCTGCTATTTCCTTTTGCCAAGATTCCTCGTTGCTCGAAAAGTGATAAATTGCTATGCTACAGGGGCTTACAAAGCTTAGTCATCAGTGACCCTGTAAACTTGGGGATACGGCTTTATTTATAGAAACATGAGGCACCGTGTAATGCCTCTGATCCTGACAGGTAGGACTGGAAGCTGAAAGGATACAGGGTCAAGCTTTTAAAACTTACAGCTTTTGAATACAGATTATTTCTTACATGGAAATTCAGCGTGTGACATTTTCTCTTTTCCTCAATTGGTGGGCCAGCAGATAATTAGCCAGAGACACTTTAATACTTTCTTTGAGCACGTTTTAGCGAGCGAACCGGAGACGTGAAAAGCTCAACATGCAGTTTAGTCATTTTGGCGTTACTTTCTCGTTTGTTTGTACTCCCACAGACCACACTGGTACATCGGCGAAAATTAAAAGAACCGCAAAACAAAAATTTTTCCCCATTTAAATCTCTGCTTTTGCTTTTAAGTGGTAACAAAGTGAGCTTTCATCATATCGCAAAGCTGTTAAAAGAAAGAAATGTTTCAGTACAAAATCTTTCATTTTGATGTGTTAGATGAGTTATGCATAAATGAGAAACTCACAATGTGTTATGTCTCACAGTGAGTTAATTTGAGTGAGGTTTTAAGTTAGTAAGAGCAAAAACATTAAAAACAGCTTCAAGAGCCTGTCATCAGTTCAAAATCATGTTTACAAGCCATTCTCATAAAGTTGGAACAAGTCACAACGTACCGAGCTGATAAAACACCGTTAAGCGTGTTTGTTTAGCTGCTGAAGAGGGTCTCAGCTCCCAAGCAGAGCATTCTGTTTAAACCAAGAGCTTGATACTTGCAAATGTTAAATATGCAAAGAATTAGACATCAATTATCTTCATTTGTTTCGGTTAAAACAGAGTACATATGCTGGTAGTCAGAAAAAAAAAGTCCATAAAGTTAACCATTGTTTCTACATGTGACAAGGAAAACAAAATCCAGGTGTGACTGTAATATTGGGTGTGCACAGCAGTATCCCAACTATCCAGGAAGTTGCTCACTCCATTAAAATAACCAGGAGTCCTGAATATTATGTTGTCTTTGCCAGCAGTCAAACAGCAGCACTATTAAAATGGATGCTGCGCTCAGAGCCAAACAGTATAAAGGAGAAAGCAATTTCCAAATCCTAGTTTTATTATATTGCCACCTGTCTCACATCTCTAAACTTATTGCTTTTTGTTGGCACCAACACCGTCGGCAATGACCTTCAACAATCCTAAGCTCATGAATGCAGCATGGCAGCGGTGCAGATGCTCCCAGTCGAGATTCTTTCCTTTCTTTTTTTTGGACCAACTTCTCTCTCTGTTCTCGCTCTCCTTGTGTTCAGGCTCGGCTCCGTCTTTCATCATCTCTTCATTCCCTGGCGGAGCTGGCGGGTAGGTGCAGGTGTAGATAATTAGTGTTTGATTACAAAGCTTCAATTCAAGATAACTGACACAACCATCGCTGACTCCAAGTTTCCCAGAGAATAAAGACTCTTCGAGGGGATTTTTGTAGTTAGTAAATTTTTCTTTCCCTCTGATGTTTTTCTTTCTCTCCGTTTTAGTTAAAGTCTCATTAACTGTTGGAAAGATATTCTTGGATTTTTGTGCAGGCGTTCATGTTGCCCTCAGGATGAACTGGAACCTTTTTAGGTTCTTCTCTTTTTTCTGTGGTATTATGATTCAGTCAAAACCTTTTTAGTGCTTTGGTTTATGCCCGAATACCTACAAAACCGAACACCAGCTGTGATTATGCTTATTTAATATTAATTGGTAAATTCTGGCATGATAACTAAACTGCTCATTACTCATTACTAAACTCCCATTTAACAGATATTCAGTGGCTCACTTAAGAGTAAGCAGTAAATTTAAATTTTGCCATGCCTGTATCACATCATTATGCTGGCATGCTGATGCCAGCCTTTATTGTCAAGGTAGAGTACGTAGGAAAAGTCTTGAGCCGCCCCTCATTTCTTTATATTTTGCTTACTGTCAGCTTGCAGGTTTTCAATAAAGTGGTCTTGAGTAATAGTTCTCCAGGCTTTCTGAAGGTCTTACTATGATTTTCTCTTAACATTGACTACATTTTCAACCATTTTCAGTCCAGTTCATAACCCTTTTGAAAGGAATGTTTTTCTTGTTTGTTTATTTGTTAATTCACTCATCACTGACCTATGAGTCATTCAAACATAACAAGGCACCTAACTCAAAGGATGAATCAGTGTTGTGTCTACACAGACAACTTAGCAAAGAATCAATTTTTAATTGCATCTTTAGGCAGTTTGTTACTTGCAAAAACACATCAATTTACAATTTCTTTAGTTGAATTTAAAAGAAGGAAAGAGGACACAGTTTGACAGGAATAAAATAGCATTCTTGTATCAACAAGGTAATTCCCAAAGAGCTATAAGACATAAACTTAGTATCTCAGAATGGTGTGCCGTGTGTTCTTACAAAGTGTCAAGGTGCCACAAGAAGAAGTGGCAGGCCTAAAAAACTATCTGCAGCAGGATCTGTATCTCCATCTACTGCTCACTGAAGCCTCATCAGAAATAGTCTGACGACGAAACCAATCTGAAGGAAGGAAAACTGAAAAAACTGCTGAAGAATGAAAAATAACAAAAGAACTGGACTGAAAATCAGTGGCAAAAGGTCTTATGGATTGCTGAATTCAAATTTGAAAGGTTATCATCAGAAGTGGTCAGGAGAGAGGTACAAGAGTGAGTCTCTACAAATATTTTGTAAAACACAGTGGAGGCTCTGTCATGGTTTGGGGCTGCATTCCAGCCAGTGGTGTTGGGGATCTTTTCAAAACTGATGGAATTATGAACGCAGAAAAATACTGTAAGATTTTGATCCACCATCTGGAAAAGATCTGATTGGCAACGGCTTCGTCTTTCACCATGACAATGATCCCAAACACACTGTCAATGCAATAATAGCAAAGCTGTATACAAAAACACACAATGGGTCATTTTTGGTTATGGAGCTCAACGTTTTTGAAGCAGGGTGGGATCATCTTGACAGAGATTCAAACAAAAGGCAGCCAACATCCAAAGAAGAGCTTTGAATGTCCTTCAAGAAGCCTGGAGAACTATTCCTGAAGAGTACTTAAAGAAATTATAGGAAAGCTTGCTTAGTAGGATCCAGACTGTGTTGAAGAATAAAGGTGGTCATAACTGTAATACCTGTTTTTGCCTTATATACTATATTTCTGTATGTTTGCATGTTTCAGTAGATTGAATCTCTAGATAGATTTTTTGAACACAATATAAAGAAATGACTGGTGGCTTAAGACTTTGCACCATATCTTTTAGGTTTTAGAGAACAGACCGGGATCCTCATTAGGGATCCTCATGGTGCTGACTACTGCAGATTCTAAATTTGGCTGTAGAGTCAGGATTATACTTGCTCGCAAACATAGACATGAACAACTGAGGACATCATAGATGACTGGTTTCCATCTCTTCGTCGTTCCCTTTTAGTTTGGTGCCTGTGCCCATCCTAGACTTTATATATCTATCTACTGTGTCCTCACCTAATTGTTGTGGAGTCCACATTTTGCTACAGGAACATTAGCATTTTGGGCCATGTTGGTTTTTGTAGACAGAAGTGATCGTACGTGGAAGACAGCATGAAATGCAAAGATCTGAGCTGAGGCTATCATGCCTGGTTAGCAGGATGCATGCACTCACTGACCAAAACCGAAACGGAAACACCTTGAACAACAAGCCATATTATTTCTCTGATAATTCCACAGAAATGCTCCTGAGGTGGAGTTCAGTGACTCAAATTAGTTGAGATGAGCTCCCAGCTGCAGGGACACCTGTTAACCACAACAGCCATGACCATCATCTTAAGCCTTAATAAACTCCAAATAGGTGAGTTTTTAGAAAAGACCCCCAGTGCAGTAGTTATGAAGGGGAAAGTTAGCTTTAGCAACCAAAAGCATTTTTGTACCAATCATAGACTCATTCAGGTCCAGAGGTTGCTGCACGGCTCAGTCACATCCATTCGCTCACAACAAACTTTGGCAGGCCTGTGGACGCCCACATTTAGCCTCACGTCCCCCATTTAATGACTCTCTCGGACCCTCTCGCACTTGCTGATGCGGAAACTAGAACACTGCCACGAGTTCTGTTATCAGCTTGGCGTTGTGAAGCATATGAGTCATTC